ATTTGCTAACTACTCTGACACTGAAAAAGTTCTTTCTAACGTCTCTGTGGCTCATTTGGGTACTCAGCTTCCACCTGTGTCCCCTTGTTCGCGTCCCACCAGTGTTGAAAAGTTCGTCCTTGTTTACCCGGTCGATTCCCCTGAGGATTTTGTAGGTTGTGATCATGTCCCCCCTTACTCTTCTGTCTTCCAGTGTCGTGAGGTGCATTTCCCGCAGCCTTTCCTCATAACTCATGCCTCTTAGTTCTGGGACTAGTCTAGTAGCATACCTTTGGACTTTTTCCAGCTTCGTCTTGTGCTTGACAAGGTACGGGCTCCATGCTGGGGCCGCATACTCCAGGATTGGTCTTACATATGTGGTGTACAAGATTCTGAATGATTCCTTACACAGGTTCCTGAACGCCGTTCTGATGTTAGCCAGCCTCGCATATGCCGCAGACGTTATTCTCTTTATGTGGGCTTCAGGAGACAGGTTTGGTGTGATATCAACTCCTAGATCTTTCTCTCTGTCTGTTTCATTAAGTACTTCATCTCCTATTCTGTATCCTGTGCCTGGCCTCCTGTTTCCACTGCCTAGTTTCATTACTTTGCATTTACTCGGGTTGAACTTCAACAGCCATTTGTTGGACCATTCACTCAGTCTATCCAGGTCATCTTGTAGCCTCCTACTATCATCCTCTGTTTCAATCCTCCTCATAATTTTTGCATCGTCGGCAAACATTGAGAGGAACGAATCTATACCCTCTGGGAGATCATTTACATATACCAGAAACAGTATAGGTCCAAGGACTGACCCCTGCGGGACTCCACTTGTGACGTCTCGCCAATCTGAGACCTCACCCCTCACACAGACTCGTTGTCTCCTGTTGCTTAGGTATTCCTCTATCCACCGGAGTACCTTCCCTCTCACTCCAGCCTGCATCTCCAACTTTCGCACTAGCCTCTTGTGTGGCACTGTATCAAAGGCTTTCTGACAATCCAAAAATATGCAGTCTGCCCACCCTTCTCTCTCTTGCCTTATTTTTGTTGCCTGGTCGTAGAATTCAAGTAACCCTGTGAGGCAGGACCTGCCATCCCTGAACCCATGTTGATGCTGTGTTACAAAGTTCCTTCGCTCCAGATGCTCCACTAGTTTTTTTCGCACAATCTTCTCCATCAGCTTGCATGGTATGCAGGTTAGGGACACTGGCCTGTAGTTCAGTGCCTCCTGTCTATCCCCTTTCTTGTATATCGGGACTACGTTAGCTGCTTTCCAAGTATCTGGCAGTTCCCCTGTTGCCAGTGATTTGTTATACACTATGGAGAGTGGTAGGCTCAGTTCTCTTGCTCCTTCCTTTAGAACCCAAGGGGAGATTCCATCTGGGCCTATAGCCTTCGTCACGTCCAACTCTAGTAAACACTTCCTTACTTCCCCACTGGTAATCTCAAACTCTTCCAGTGGTTCCTGGTTAGCTATTCCCTCACTTACCTCTGGAATTTCTCCTTGTTCTAAGGTGAAGACCTCCTGGAATTTCTTATTCAATTCCTCACACACTTCCTTGTCATTTGTAGTGAATCCTTCCGCCCCTATCCTTAATCTCATAACCTGTTCCTTTACTGTTGTTTTTCTCCTAATGTGGCTATGCAACAATTTAGGCTGAGTCTTTGCCTTGCTTGCGATGTCATTTTCGTATTGTCTTTCTGCCTCTCTTCTCATCCTGACATATTCATTCCTGGCATTCTGGTATCTTTCTCTGCTCTCCAGTGTCCTGTTATTCCTATAGTTTCTCCATGCCCTTTTACTTTGCTGCTTAGCTAGCCTACATCTTTGATTAAACCATGGGTTTCTCATCTTCATTTCTCTGTTTTCCCTGTGTATTGTGTATGTGTGTATGTGTGTATGTGTGTGTGTGTGTGTGTGTGTGTGTGTGTGTGTGTGTGTGTGTGTGTGTGTGTGTGTGTGTGTGTGTGTGTGTGTGTGTGTGTGTGTGTGTGTGTGTGCGCGCGCGTGCGTGCGCGTGCGTGCGTGCGTGCGCGTGCGTGCGTGCGTGCGCGCGGGGGGGGGGGGGGACTCGTAGCCTCGTTGCCTTCCCCGCAAAATGCTCCCGCTTCTCTCAAGTCCCGTATAGCAGTTCCTGCTAATATTATGGCCAAGTTTCTTGGCTACAAACCGCTGGTAAAGTTTGACTAGTTTTGCATTTACTGCGCTGTTAAGGATGCCATTGTCGTTGCTTGTGATGTATAGAGTTGTGTGGGGAGCGAAAAGTGCGGTTTTTGATGTATTGCAGATATAATATAGGCAGTGCACAAAAGCATTTGATAAAGTGTGTCACAGAGGCCTAAAATACAAGATGTCAGACGTAGGGCTTCCACACAGGTTCACTGCACAATACTCAGCTTCACACACAACACAACACCTAAGCTTAGTGTTAGCAGCCACCTGGTTATCTTGAGGTTATCTTGAGATGATTTTGGGGCTTTAGTGTCCCCGCGGCCCGGTCCTCGACCAGGCCTCCACCCTCAGGAAGCAGCCCGTGACAGCTGACCCAGGTACCTATTTTACTGCTAGGTAACAGGGGCATAGGGTGAAAGAAACTCTGCCCATTGCTCTGCCCGGGATCGAACCCGGGACCACAAGCCCAGCGTGCTATCCGCTCGGCCGACCGGCTCCCTCCCTCCCTCCCTTATGTCACCTGGGTGACATAAACGAACTGAAAAGTGGAGTGCCTCAGGGAAGCTGCGTTTCCCCCACGCTGTTCAACACACACACAGTCGACGTTGTCCCTCCCTAATATGGAGAATACACCACATCCCTGGAAACAAACCGTAACTGTCTCTATTTTCCGCTTGTTACTTGTAATAAAGTTGTTACATCTTGGCTTAACGTGTTTATGACGTATTAGAACGTTGTTACAACTTGCTATATTGGTTGTTATAACTGGTTAGGTGTTAAAACTTGTTCGAACGTTGTACCAACGTCGTAGTTTGTGTGTGTGTTTGGCGGGATATACGCTGACAATGTAACTCAAATAATGTGTCAATATGGGTAATCAATGTCGTTACTGGCCAACAAGACTAAGGCAGCAATTGAATTCGTAAAAATCTTTGAAAAAAACAATGGGAAATAAGTACAAACTACCAAATATTACACATTGGAAACAAACAAAAAACGGGGGGTGGGGAAGAGCCCATTACCCTTGACACCCGCCCTGTCATACGTATGAAGGCACAATACTGCGACTCAATATTACCAACACGAATCAAACGTCACCTTGACAGACCAAACAAAGCAAAAAACAACCTTAGGGAAACTGAGGAGATTCTCTCCTCAAACAAAAAAGTTGACTTTTTAAGAGAATTATTGCTTAGCAGGAAAGTAACTAAATATAGATGCCATCGCTAGATATCTATATAGTTTTTTTTTATATCGGGTATGCCAATTAACTGTGAAATGGAGTAATGTCCTCTCAATATTTTTCACTAAAAAAATGGGGTCAAATAAGGTGGTTTTTATTCATCTATCATTTGCAATCTTGACTCCATTGTTGAAGTGTTAAGAGTCAGACCTGCCGGCTGACACACAGGCAACACCTACCTTGGGGTTACCTTGAGGTTACCTTGAGGTGCTTCCGGGGCTTAGCGTCCCCGCGGCCCGGTCGTCGACCAGGCCTAGACCAATGTTGTCTTTCATGATCTACTGCATCTCTCACCCAGCAAACATCCTATGGAAATCTTGACAGGAATATGTGCTGGATACAGTGAAGAGTACAACCTAACGTCCAATCCTGCCAAATGTGGTGTAGTCCCTCTTAACTCACAGGATTCCTCTTAATTTGATCCCAAATTAATATTACTAGGCAGAGACCCCTGTAAAATATTCTGTAGCGCCTCTGGGGCTTATAATCCCTTTCACCTCATCCTCGGGTACATATCATGCAGCAAAAACAAAAAAAATTGTAATCTTACGGGCTATTCATGCCCGTGTCACCTCTTGGGAGGCTTAATCTTCATCAATCAATCACTCTGTAATCATTCCAACTGCGCATTTGACAATATTAACAAGAGTGAACAAAACGTAACTCTTAGCATCAGGGGAAAATAAAACTGTGAAAATGAACTTTTGGAGAATTAATTTTTCAACTTCCTTCCCAAGAGAAGAAAAATGTAAGGAAAATAGAGAAGAATCGTGCTAGAATAATTGATCTTACCCTTTCGGTCAAGTTCAAAAATATACTTGAAAGTTCCCCACAGGTTGTTGGGACTAAACCCCCGCCCGCCTGATGCACAGCCGAGCGCTGTACCGCTGTACCACCACCTAACAACACCATAGGGGGTCTGAATGAACTCTTGCCCGAGTGTATTCGGCTCATGCTGTCAGCCACAGCACCTCACCAGGAGACATCACCTCACCAGGGCACCCCACAACAGCACCTAACCAGGACACATCACTAGGGCACAGCACCTCACCAGCACACATCACTAAGACATAGCACCTCACTAGGACACAGCGCCTCACCAGGACAGCTCACTAGGCCACAGCACCTCACCAGGACACCGCACTAAGACACAGCACCTCACTAGGGCACAGCACCTCACCAAGACACCTCACTAGGCCACAGCGCCTCACCACCTCACCAGGGCACCTCACTAAGACACACCACCTCACCAGGGCACCTCACTAAGACACACCACCTCACCAGGGCACCTCACTAAGACACACCACCTCACCAGGGCACCTCACTAAGACACACCACCTCACCAGGGCACCTCACTAAGACACACCACCTCACCAGGGCACCTCACTAAGACACACCACCTCACCAGGGCACCTCACTAAGACACAGCGCCTCACCAGCTGAGGTGCTCCTGGCGTCTTAATACTTGGGAGCGTGTTGAGGGCGCCTGGTGGGTCCAGCTCACTCGTGTCCACCAAATTTCAAAATACTCCCCAGTGCGTGGCTCCTTGTGCTGGCCACGCCCTCGGAGACCTGTGGTCGCAAGTACCGGGGAAATATACTTACGGCGATAAGCGTTAACACGGGGTCATAAGAGACATAGCCTTGCACTTGGACGAGCGACACACCCTCCCTCCACGAGCAACCGCCGAACACTAAACATGTTGTGGAGCCCGCATCCCGCCGCACAAAACTCGCCCGTGACGTCACAGCGCCCGCAGCCAATCACCACTGTGCTCGGTCAAAACAAATGTGACGTCACCGACGGCAGATCAATCACGGAGGAGAGCCAAGAGGGAACTTTTCCGTTGTCACTCCTTTAGTGCCAGTAATGAACCCGATGCCTTTGATGTAGGCAATGACGTCACCAACAAATTTACGCCAAAGGGCAAACACATCAAACGTGGCGTAGTGAATTTATGGCGGGAAAGATGGCGATAAGCGTAGCCAGCAAGAGGGAGAGTGCCTATTGGCTCCTGTCATCTAGGGAATGATGGCCCAGGTGTGACATCTTAAACGGATTTTACCGAAAAATACCATAAAAAAAATCAACGGAATTCGATCCATTATATCCGAGAATGTTACAAATCCGGCCGGATAGTTTGGCAAGCAGCTACGGGTCCCCATCGCACTCCGAGAGCAGAAAATAGCAGTGAGATGCAAAGGTTGTTGACGTGTTGGGCTGAAGAAGAGGCAAGGGGGGCCCCCTTCTCCCTCCCTCCCTCATTGTACCCTCTCTACTCCCTCTCGGCTCCTTCATCTCCCCGCCCACCCCCTGCCACACTTATACGTCCGCAGCTGAATTATACGTCACATGCTGAAAAATTTTGCCTAATTCCGGTGGTGAGCTGCGGCTAGACTAGCGCAGGGTACGCCACCCGTGCCAATTATGTTGCTACCCCCCCTACCCCTCCATCCAAGCCTCCCCCTCCAAGCCATCCCCCCCTTCTCCAAGCTACCTCCTCCAAGCCACCCTCCCTACAAGCTACCTCCTCCAAGCCACCTCCTCCAAGTTACTAAAAAAACAAATCACAATCAAAACGCTGTGCCACTAATACGCACAGCGTTTCGGGCAACAACTCCATCCAAAGCCACCCCCTCTAAGCCACCCCATTAAAGCCACCCCCTCCAAGCCACCCTCTCCATGTTACCCGCTCAAACAACCCCCTCCCCCTCCAAGACACCCCCCCTCCAAGACATCCCCCCCCTCCAAGACACCCCCCCCTCCAAGACACCCCCTTAAAGCCAGCCCTTCCAAGTTACTCCCTTTAAGCCACACCCTCCTACCAATCATCCTTCAAACCCCATTCTCCTAGCTACTACCCTGCACTCTTCCCCCTCCCATAATCTCACCCCCTCCCATATTCTCACCCCTTCCTATGTTCTCACCCCTCCCACATTCTCACTCCTCCCACATTCTTACCTCTCCCATATTCTGACCCCTTCCATATTCTCACCTTTCCCATATTCTCGCCTCTTCTATATTCTCACCCTCCCATATTCTCACCCCTCCCATATTCTCACCCCCTCCCATATTCTCACCCCTCCCATATTCTCACCCCTCCCATATTCTCACCCTCCCATATTCTCACCCCTCCCATATTCTCACCCCCTCCCATATTCTCACCCCTCCCATATTCTCACCCCTCCCATATTCTCACCCCCTCCCATATTCTCACCCCTCCCATATTCTCACCCCCTCCCATATTCTCACCCCTCCCATATTCTCACCCCTCCCATATTCTCACCCCCTCCCATATTCTCACCCCTCCCATATTCTCACCCCTCCCATATTCTCACCCCCTCCCATATTCTCACCCCTCCCATATTCTCACCCCCTCCCATATTCTCACCCCCTCCCATATTCTCACCCCTCCCATTTTCTCACCCCTCCCATATTCTCACCCCTCCCATATTCTCACCCCCTCACATATTCTCACCCCTCCCATATTCTCACCCCTCCCATATTCTCACCCCCTCCCATATTCTCACCCCCTCCCATATTCTCACCCCTCCCATATTCTCACCCCCTCCCATATTCTCAGCCCCTCCCATATTCTCACCCCCTCCCATATTCTCACCCCCTCCCATATTCTCACCCCTCCCATATTCTCACCCCTCCCATATTCTCACCCCTCCCATATTCTCACCCCCTCCCATATTCTCACCCCCTCCCATATTCTCACCCCCTCCCATATTCTCACCCCCTCCCATATTCTCAGCCCCTCCCATATTCTCACCCCTCCCATATTCTCACCCCTCCCATATTCTCACCCCCTCCCATATTCTCACCCCTCCCATATTCTCACCCCTCCCATATTCTCACCCCTCCCATATTCTCACCCCCTCCCATATTCTCACCCCTCCCATATTCTCACCCCTCCCATATTCTCACCCCTCCCATATTCTCACCCCCTCCCATATTCTCACCCCCTCCCATATTCTCACCCCTCCCATATTCTCACCCCCTCCCATATTCTCAGCCCCTCCCATATTCTCACCCCTCCCATATTCTCACCCCTCCCATATTCTCACCCCCTCCCATATTCTCACCCCTCCCATATTCTCACCCCTCCCATATTCTCACCCCTCCCATATTCTCACCCCCTCCCATATTCTCACCCCTCCCATATTCTCACCCCTCCCATATTCTCTCCCCTCCCATATTCTCACCCCTCCCATATTCCTACCCCCTCCCATATTCTCACCCCCTCCCATATTCTCACCCCCTCCCATATTCTCACCCCTCCCATATTCTCACCCCTCCCATATTCTCACCCCCTCCCATATTCTCACCCCCTCCCATATTCTCACCCCCTCCCATATTCTCACCCCCTCCCATATTCTCACCCCTCCCATATTCTCACCCCTCCCATATTCCTACCCCTCCCATATTCTAAGTCATTCACGCTTATCCATCTCACACTATCTCCCATACTCATAACTCTCTCACGCACGTGTGCATACTACCACAAATACTCTTTTCACACATACACTCGTACCATGGTTCTCCTCCCATGGTTCTCCTACCATGGTTCTCCTCCCATGGTTCCCCTACCATGGTTCCCCTACCATGGTTCTCCTCCCATGGTTCACCTACCATGGTTCTCCTCCCATGGTTCTCCTACCATGGTTCTCCTCCCATGGTTCTCCTACCATGGTTCTCCTCCCATGATTCTCCTACCATGGTTCCCCTACCATGGTTCTCCTCCCATGGTTCACCTACCATGGTTCTCCTCCCATGGTTCTCCTACCATGGTTCTCCTCCCATGGTTCTCCTACCATGGTTCCCCTACCATGGTTCTCCTCCCATGGTTCACCTACCATGGTTCTCCTCCCATGGTTCTCCTACCATGGTTCTCCTCCCATGGTTCCCCTACCATGGTTCCCCTACCATGGTTCACCTACCATGGTTCCCCTACCATGGTTCACCTGCCATGGTTCACCTACCATGGTTCTCCTACCATGGTTCCCCTACCATGGTTCCCCTACCATGGTTCCCCTACCATGGTTCTCCTACCATGGTTCACCTACCATGGTTCTCCTACCATGGTTCACCTACCATGGTTCTCCTACCATGGTTCACCTACCATGGTTCTCCTCCCATGGTTCCCCTACCATGGTTCCCCTACCATGGTTCCCCTACCATGGTTCACCTACCATGGTTCTCCTACCATGGTTCACCTACCATGGTTCTCCTCCCATGGTTCTCCTCCCATGGTTCTCCTCCCATGGTTCACCTACCATGGTTCTCCTCCCATGGTTCTCCTCCCATGGTTCCCCTACCATGGTTCTCCTCCCATGGTTCTCCTACCACGGTTCACCTCCCATGGTTCTCCTACCATGGTTCACCTACCATGGTTCTCCTCCCATGGTTCTCCTACCACGGTTCACCTCCCATGGTTCTCCTACCATGGTTCACCTACCATGGTTCTCCTCCCATGGTTCTCCTACCACGGTTCACCTCCCATGGTTCTCCTACCATGGTTCACCTACCATGGTTCTCCTCCCATGGTTCTCCTACCATGGTTCACCTACCATGGTTCAATAGACGAGACACCAAGAAGAACAAACGACAAGGAAGAGAGAGTGGAGGAAATACAAAGATCAAAGGACAAGAAAACCGGAATAGAAGTAACAGTTGAAGGAACGAATACATAAATAAATAAACATAAGAAGAATGTTGGAAAGAATACACGAAAATGATAGTGGTTCAAAAGCAAAGACTCCCACATAGTCCTAATCTTGAACGACCAATTACAGCTACGAAAACGTCTACGAAAAAGGATAGGTAAATATTTAGTGTTAGAAGAAGGTTACCCTCAAAGGAACTTTAGATTAGAGAGGTAAACACTGTTGTAAGAGCAGAGGAATTAACGCAGTAACTAGTATCACTCGACGAAACTAACACTATTGGACCAGGCAACGTATCAACATGGGTATTGAAAGATGAGGCACGGGACCTCAGCGTATCTCTAGCATTGAACATTAATGAGTCACTTTAAAAGGGAAAATTGCCAAACTGCTGGAAGAAGGCAAGTGTGGTAACAACTTACAAGGAGATGAAGAAGAGGCACTTAACTACAGACCAGTGTTGCTGACACGCATCCCCTGCAAAGTACCCCAAAGAGGATAGCACTAGTTACTAGAGGATGGCATCTCTAGGGAGGATAGGGTATCTATGGAAGGATAGAGGATAGCACTAGCACTAGAGGATGAGGATTGCACTAGTTACACATCTGGAGAGAACTAGGCATGTGAACAAACAACAACATGGCTTTAGAGAAAGGAAATCATGCCTAACGACCCTGTTAGAGTTCTATAATAAAGTAATGACAATAAGGCAGTTCAGAGCCTATAGCACATATCCGGGCCTCTGCCAAGGTGATTTGACATAGGGAGGAGCAAGCTGAAGAGCACTGACATGGGTAAGGAGCTGCCTAACAGACAGGAGTCAGGGAGTTATAGTTAGCAAGACACTATCGGCGTGTCGTAGGGCCACAAGCGGAGTACCTCAAGGATCGGTGCTGGATTTTCACTGTTTCTAGTTAAAGTAAATGACCTATCGATAGGAGTTAATTATTATACATCAATGGTTGCAGATGATATAACTTGATGAGAATTGGTCCGGAAAATGACTACTGGATTGCAATACCAGCAAGT